TCATTACGGGGTATCGAAATTTCACCCTCCGTTTAATCAGCCGGCGCGACTCGGCTGAAATTGCTGTGAACAGGCCTGCGGCACTCTCGTATCACCGGCAGCCGGGACAGGGGCGGATCCAGGAAAACTCCAAGGGGAGGGTCATGAATCGAAGTGGTGCCCCTACCATATACCCAAAATTAAAAACTCAACGGATTTCGTCCACTTCATTTTGGTGGTGCCCCCATTTTCAGTTTTTTATTTTTCATTTTTATTTTTAGTCAGTATCTTACCTCTTAGCCACAACCACATTTACCAATTGTAAGCAAGTAGGTATATATGAATGTGCTATGTGTATATATGTTGTGGACGCTGAGTAATGAGCACTTACCAGGAACGTTATCAGGTAAGCAAATCGTTGTCAGTCCGACGAACTTGACCCTGGCGTCTAAAGGGTCTGTCCTTGACACTTCAGGCTTGTCAGGGGCACCAAAGTCCTTCCAGGGACACCACAAACCTGTCAGGGGCACCTACGGCCTTGTAGGGGCGCCACAGGCCCGCCAGGGGCACCACAGGCCTGCCAGGAAGCAGGGGCACCACAGGTCTAGCAAGTATACACGACAGGCCTGTCAGGGGCACAACGGGCCTGTTGGGCCCATGAGCACCCCTAGGGGCAGGGGCACCACAGTCCTTCCAGGGGCACCGCAGGCCTGTGAGGGGCACCAGCGGCCTAGCAGGGGCACCAGTCAACACAGGCCTGCCAGGGGCACCACAGACCTGCCAGGGGCACCAGAGGCCTGCCAGGAGCACCACCGACCTCGCAGGGGTAACTTGGGCCTGTCAGGGCCCAGGGGCACCACGGGCCTGTCGAGAGGCACTTCAGGCTTTTCAGGGGCACCATAGTCCTCTCAGGGCGCAGGGGTAGCAGGGGCACCAGAGGCCTGCCAGGGGCACTACAGGCCTAGCAAGGGCACCACTGGTCTATCAGGGGCACCACGAGCCTGTCATAGCCAGGCATCTCAGGCTTGTCAAGGCCCAGGGGCACCACAGGTCTGTGAGGGGCACCAGCGACCTAGCAGGGGCACCAGTCAACACAGGTCTGCCAGGGGCGCCACAGACCTGCCAGGGGCACCACAGACCTGCCAGGGGCACCAGAGGCCTGCCAGGGGCACCACCGGCCTCGCAGGGGCACCTTGGGCCTGTCAGGGGCACGACGGGCCTGCCGAGGGGCACTTCAGACTTTTCAGGGGCACCAGTCCTCTCCGGGCGCAGGGGCACCAGAGGCCTGCCAGGGGCACCAGCGGCCTAGCAAGGGCACCAGAGGCCTGCCAGGGGCACCAGCGGCCTAGCAAGGGCACCAGAGGCCTGCCAGGGGCACCACAGGCCTAACAAGGGCACCACGGGCCTGTCAGGGGCACCTCAGGCTTGTCAGGGCCCAGGGACACCACAGTCCTTCCAAGGGCACCGCAAGCCTGTCAGGGGCACCAGAGGCCTGCCAGGGGCACCACAGGCCTAGCAAGGGCACCTCTGGCCTGTCAGGGGCACCTCAGGCTTGTCAGGGCCCAGGGGCACCACAGTCCTTCCAGGGGCATTACAAGCCTGTCAGGGGCACCAGAGGCCTAGCAAGGGCACCACAGGCCTGCCATGGACACCACAGGCCTGCCAGGGGCACCACCGGCCTTGCAGGGGCGCCTCAGGCCTGTCAGGGGCACCACGTGCCTGCCGGGGACACTTCAGGCTTGTCAGGGGCGTTACAGTCCTGTCAGGGCCCAGGGGCACCAGGCCCGTGGTGTCCCTGCTAGGCCTGTGGTGCCCCTGGCGGTCCTGTGGTGCCCCTGTCAGGACTGTGATACCCCTGATAGGCCGGTGGTGCCCCTGGAAGGTCTTTGGGCCCCCGGGCCTCAAGGGGGGGGCCATGACCCATGTGACCCCCCCCCTTGGATCCGCCCCTGAGCCGGGACCCGTGGCAGTGCGTTCATCCGTGGAATGCGGTCATGTACCAAGACAACGAGCGGCTCCAATTTAAGTGGGTGGGGCGGAACTAAGGGGAGGTTCTCCCCTAGACCCCCCCCTCATCACTCTAACTACATATGCCCGACGGCTGGATCCTCCGCAGCCGTCAATTAGGTATGCACCAAGGCATAAATTCGTCGGCCGACAGCCAATAGAACAGATCGGAATGGAGTCGTTTGTTATGATAATGGGACAGTCGATTTGTTCGGTGCGCTCCGAATAGATGTCGTCGCCGGTGTATCCGTTCGAACCAATCGCACCGCAGCGCCGCCGAGCCACTGATAGCTTGTCAGAGTGTGCGCGCACCGGATATTGATAGAACAACCATCACCAAATGAAAAATTGAAGGAGAATTTTGCAACACGAACTATCGAAACAGAGCCATTCAACTGTGAATCGATAGAAAAGCGAAGAGTCAACGGACAATGACCAAGCCAACAGTCAACGGATGAAATTGAATCTCAAAACATCATTGCTATTGGTGACAGACGGTAAATTATTGGCAATACCGAGCTTGGAATGACATAAAATTACTAAATAAGAGCGAAAGAACACAAGAACAAGCAAAACCGAAATTAAATGTCAATGAACCGACAACGTCGTTCAGAGAGGACGTTGTTTCCGATGGGCACACTGCAACTACCTTCTAAAGTATTCTTTTTAGACAAAAGCCGACCGTCGCAGAGGTGTGCGGAGGCGATTGACCCGGCTCCGTCTCGAGAATAGCTGACTGTGACCGGGATCGCTGTCTGGGCGGCGAACGGTCTCTGACGTCACAGCCGGCCCCACCGCTCCGCCGTCTGACAGTCTATTGTGGATGAATCGGGAGACGATTTTCGCTGTCTTCACAGTGCCCTTGCTTTTGGGTGATAAGCGGCTGGAACAGTAAACTTTGATGATAGAGTGTAAATAAAGACCGTCGTTATTTTGCCAGTTAGATGCCTAACTGACTTGGATAAACATAAAAAATTCACTGAAGAGGCTCGCCTTTCGGAAATATTTTGTTAATCGCTCCGACAGTTCCAAAAGGGCAGACCGCTCCCTTCGCTAACTACTGTGTTTATTCCATTAGTTCTGACCGTTCCTACTCTCCTATAACTACGTTTCCATGGGCAAAGGGATTCGTATCCGGATCAGTGAAGCCGCTACTGATCCGGATGACTGGGGCCGTTTCCATGGGCAAAGCCGGTACTGATCCGGATCAGTGAAATAAGAGCTCAGCCGCTACTCATCGGCTTAGGAGAGACGAGTATGGCGCACTTTGGCAATTAATAAAAAGTTCAGCTAACATTTCTGCCTGGTCTTGTGCAAAAATCGACAAGGATCTTCCGTCCTGAAGATTGGCTTTCTTTTATCATACCGATAGCAAACTCGGCTATTGGGAAAATCTTCCAAACTCCTACAATAACTCATTTTTCAGTTCGATTCATGTTAAAAAATAACCATAAACAAATAAATTTACATAGCAATTCGTTCGTCTTTCATTACTTCACAAAACGTTTCGGGCGACCCCGAGTTTCGAACCTAAGACCTTTGGCTTACAAAGCGAAAATCATTCCGATGCGCCACCGCGGCGCTCGGCCTCCCATGTCCTAAATTTATATGTGATAATAGTTGACAGGCAAATGATGCAATATCGAGAAAGTTTGCATTTGTGCTGGGCCGCACACTAGGCCATTCGGCGGGCGACATTCCGCAAAAACGCAATTCCGTGGCGACATTACGCTTTCGTGGACGCCGAATCAGCTGCCGAAACGACAAAATTATCAGCCGACCGCTGCCAGCTAGCTGTCCGCGGGTAGAGTGCGCATGCGCGCGAACAGCCGCGGAGTTGCGGAAAAAGCTGGACCGGTTCAGCTTTTTCCGCGGCGACGCGGCCTTGGGCGACGCCGCGGACACCCGAAATTGTGGAACTTGAAACTCACCAACTATTGATGGAGCAGCCGAGAAATAGACTTCACTTGATAAAAAATCGTAGCGGCACTTCTTTCCCCATATTAAATGGTTTTTATACACTTCATTGGTTATTCCAATAATGGGTTACTATGTGCCTCTCCACAATTGTCTTTAGGTTTCTTGCATTTGTCGACAAACACGGTTGTTTACATTAATCACGAGCTTTATTTTTTTGCAACTTCCTCCAGAAATTATGTCAAATTAATAGATATTCATAACTTTATTGTACAGAAATATAGCATAATCGCATTAAATAGCAAATATTGTATTTGCTTAAATGTATTTAGTTTGCATTCGTTTATGTTTATCATAAAATGTTTCACATAAAGTTCCTGAAAATACTAAGTAGAAAATCGCACCGCCGAATGGTCCTGTAAACTGCTGAAAACAAGCGGAAAGCCGCTGTAGGAGTGTCGCCCGCGACATTCCGCTTTTGCGGAATCTCGCCCGCCGAATGGCCCAGTGTGCGGCCGCCTTAAGGGATTACACGGGTAATGAAAAAATGCTGGAAAAGATTGCAAAATTGATTTGCCATTCAACACCAACAAATAGATTTAGAACATTGGCACAATAGATCGTAGCAAGATAACTGATTGGTGGATGCTGTTGCGCAACGGGACACCGTGTGCAGGAGGAATGCACAAACAAATATCTACAATGGTTTATATCTTTAATAATATAGCCCAAATTTTGAAACATATCATTTTAATAATAGTATCATTTAAATAAAATATTTCTAATGTGATATATGCATCCAGGCCCATTAAGGCAATTAAAATGAAAATAAGAATAAAATGAAAAAGTCAAACATTAATCCCTATCGTAACGGCTCAGCTTCTTTCGAAGCTGGATTAGAATCCGGATCAGCGGTAAGGGATTACGGGTGTTTCCATGGGCAGCCTAATCCCTTACGAGGCACTGATCCGGATCAGTGATGCCCATGGAAACGGGGTGTGTGTCCGTTCTGCCAGCTCCGCCCGTTCCCACTCGCCTACCTGTTCCTACCGTTCCACCCGTCCCCACTCGCCTAACCAGTGTGTCCGTTCGGGCAGTTCCGCCGGCGATCCGGCCGTTCCTGCTGGGGAACTACTCGGTCGGGGAGCGTGTCCAGGTGCTCTGCTTCATCCAGAGCGGGGACGGCCCGCTGACGCTCACCTGGCTGAGGGACGGCCGTCCGCTCACCGACCCTGAGGTGGTGCAGCGCTCGACAGACCGATTCAGCAGCAGCCTGTCCATCGAGAGGGTGGCCGTCCGACACGCAGGGAACTACACCTGCCGCGCAGAGAACGCGGCGCGCGCCTCCACCTTCACAGCCGAGCTCAGAGTCAACGGTGAGTCGCGGCGCCGAGCAGCGGGTCAATCGTGAGTCGCAGCCGAACCTAGAGTCAACACAGCACACACGGTATATACTGCAGGTATGTACATACTTACCTATGCTAGGGGTTAAAAAATACCTTCATATCAATCTAACAAACATCGCGAATTCTTCATCTATGGCCAGAAATAGTCGTTGAATTCAGCAATCAGCATACCGGAAGTGTGTGCTTTGTGCAGGCACAATGGATATCGGTGAGTCAATCACATAACTGAAAGTAAGCGGAAAATCTACGCTATAAGCATATTACCGACGTACCGAAAGACATCTCTCTCATAGTTCATTTAATACATAAGCGCCATCTGAAGGTCCAATCGTAATGGTAAATGCCTCTTAGCGGTAAGTCACGGTCGAGTCCCACACCCGATATTTCGCACTCGAACCAATAGCTGGCCAATAAGGCATCGAATAAAACTGGCCAGCTGTGATAGATTACAGTCGAGTGCAGAGGTTGACTCCCGCCGAGTGGCTGTGTGTCAATAGGAGCTTATATGGCTCTCTAATAATCCTCCAGGCTGAATGGGGACCGTAAGTCATGCGTCCAGAATGCGCAATATAGCTCCAGATATATTTCTATGGATGGAAAATATACAATCCTGCAGGTCATATGAATTCCAGCCCCTGAGTGAAGGACCACTCGATACGAAGAAGCGAGGCTATTCATCATCGACTTTTCAACGTTATCCAATGCATTGGGGCGTGATGCTGTTTTGAAAGAAGACCGAATGAGCTCCGTGTTGTTTCGATTAACTTTAATAGCGCAGTCTCATTTTGGAGCTCCCATTTTGCCGAGAGAGGAGAGGGCCGATGAAGGATGGCCAGTCGGGCGGCTCCATCAATGGTGCCGGGATCCTCCTCGTTTGGCGCTGTGGCGATCAATCATGACGAGTTAGCTGCCTCTGGGCGCAGCACGTCGGCAGTCATAACACACATTATTAACGGGCCAACCAGACCACCTCGCTGCAGCTCGCACCATCGACAAAGGAGCTATCGACTGTTTAACCCTATTCCTGGCGGGCTCCGCCGGGACAAGAAACTGGCGGGGGGGGGGCCGATTCGGCCCCCCCCTGAGATCTCGAGAACGAAGCAAGATAGCGACAAGCGGTAAACGGCATCGGATACGCACGGCCAAGATCTACAATTTTTACAAAGGTCATTTTCAGGTCAGGTCAAAGATGACGTCACAGGGGTCGAAAAAGTCAAAATGGCGGCACTAGATATGGAGAGAGTTTTTTCTCGAATAACTTTCGAATTAGTCAAGATAGGAACAAACTAAGGGCATCATCGTGATCCTCTCGTCAATCCGCATCGAATGATATATATGTTGACCTCGAAAGGTCAAGGTCAAAGGTTGACCTCAGGTCACGTGACCTCGAGGTCATCATGTATAGCATTCGATGCGTCTTGACGAGCTGAACACAATGAGACCATCCACGCGTCTGTATCTTGTTCCTGTACGGAGTTATTGGCCAAAAACCTTTGGTGACCTTTGATGACGTCACATGACCTCACAGCTGCCCAACAGCAAAACAGACCTCAAGGTAGTGAAGGTTGATCGTATATGAAGTCATGTATGGTATATGGGGCCATTCCGACCCGTTTTAGTGGTAAAAACAGGGAGTTGATTTTTCCCCCATTGACTTATAATGGGGAGGTCGCGAAATTGACCTGACCTTAGGTCACCGATATCAAAATTCCGAGATATACAAATTGCACATACTGGTACCCTAACTAAACCCTGAAGAGAAGAAATTGATCGGTCAAAAACTCTAGCTCTGGCGTGATTGCAAACTTTTCTGAGGTAGCGTCACCAAACCGCCTCTGGTGACCTGACCTGAGGTCAGATCAACTCAAAATTTTCAGACATGTTGCGTAGAAGCCTTTTAGGAAAAGTCAGAAAATTTGAGCTTCCTAGCTCAACGCGTTTGGGAGATATAACCAAAAAACCTCAGGGGGGGCTCCTGAGGCCCCCCCGCCAGGAATAGGGTTAACTATACAAGACGCATTTTATTTAGTGGGATAGTATACGCTTGTATTCTCTATGAGAAGGTAAAATATCTATTTTTTCAAGGTAACTACCTGTTTGTGTTGAATAAACGACATCCCAAAATTATATGGCGATGCTGTTCAATCTTGCATCATTATTTATTATAAAGTTATTTACACACACTATCGCCATCATGTCCCTCGTGAATGGGGCTTTTAGTAATTCAGCGTCTTCCGGATAGCATGTTGTACCCAGCTTTCCACTTCAACAACTAGCTAACTTATGGCCCAAGTTTGCAAACTTCGCTACACATCTGCCGATTGTTCGACCAGTATATCCAGTGACCGTAGCCGTGATGTGTGTGTGTGTGTGTGTGTGTGTGTGTGTGTGTGTGTGTGTGTGTGTGTGTGTGTGTGTGTGTGTGTGTGTGTGTGTGTGTGTGTGTGTGTGTGTGTGTGTGTGTGTGTGTGTGTGTGTGTGTTATCGGGGTTACATGAGCACAGTAAATACGTATTTAGCCGCTAATTCGAATTAGGAACGCATTACCGACTCATGTAGCCACCTGCTAGTACGAATCGGCGATCCGATCCGCGGTTACATGAGCAAAGCAAATACGTATCACGATCGGATTCACCGCTAATGCGAATCAGGAGCGTACTACCGACTCATGTATCCACCTGCTAATACGAATCGGCGGTCCAAACAAAATCCGCTGAGAAAGAGGCTTAGAAGCGAATAGGACCAAGATACGTATTACAGGAACTATTTCTTTCCAAAAAGAAACATTAAAATGCAAAATAATAGGTATTTTTTTCATTTGCTTCTTTTGAAATAATAATTAAAAAAATATATCGGTATTTTGTCAATAAATATAGTGAAAACCAAAAAGAAAATATCAAAGTACTTTCAGTTGAAACATTTTTCTGACAGCACTACAGACGAATCAAGAGAGGCAAGTGCCCAATGAGTCATAGCAAGACAACTTTATGTTCAACTTTTTTTGTTAAGCTAATTGAGGATGTTCTGAGCAGATTAAATGCAAAAAAGACATGAGATATTAAATTTTTAATTCAGTCACCTCTATTGCTACGGAAGTGCGCCACATTTGTATGCTATTCCGTTTGTAATGCGCATCGGGCCGAGAGCCAAACTAGACCCGTTTGACGTCACTGATACGAATTTGCTCTTGTAGTCGGTGCACTGAATGCGTTCTTGGGGAGCTGATGCGAATTAGCGATAGTGCGTATTTGGAACGGATCGCTCATGTAACCGAAACGTCCGAGGCACACGATTCGGGCCGTATTTCACAAGAACTATTCTTTGCTGACCGGAAGCGTCAAAATGCAAAATACTAAGCATTTTTTTTTATTGGCTGCCTCGTAGAAAATAACAAAAAAATGTTGGTATTTTGGTTTAGTCTTTGCATGTGAAATAAAATGAATGAAATATTTTGATAGATAATTTTTTCTGACCACCCTGCTGTCGCTGCATGGCGAATCAGTGCCCACTGACTTAAAACAAGAAAACTTTGTTTTCATTTTTTGATTTCATGTTAATTTTAAATGTTTTTGAGCCTATCAAATGATATAATTATTTAAAATTTAGCTCAGTCGTCCCGGTAAATGCCGCAACTGCGCCATGACTGTACGCTAATCCTATTCCGTTTGTGATGCGAATTACCGGCCGTCGAGGAGTCAGCCCGGGTGAGCCAAACAAGATCCGTTTGACGTAGATAAAACGAATTAGTCTCATGTAACCGGTGCCGTAGATCCGTTTGTGGGGAGCTGATGCGCATTAGCGTAGTGCGTATTTGTAACGGATCGCTCATGTAACCCCGGTATGTGTGTGTGTGTGCCGCCAGTCCCGCCGCGCTGGCTTCTGGAGCCCTCCGACTTGGCCGTACAACTGGGTGCCGCCGCGCTGCTGCACTGCTCAGCCGAGGGCTCTCCGCCACCGCACATCACCTGGACGAAGGCAGGTAGGTTCAGATCCCTCCACCTCTGATCCTGCCGTCGCTGGTCCTCGGCCCAGTCTGCCGTCTCCGATAGGCCGCCCGGCGACCAGACTGGGAATCGGATGGGGCCATAAATAGCCCCGCGGGCCGCTGTCCGACCTGATCTGCGGCAAAGTGGGAATGCCCGACCAGGCCGCCGGTCGTGTTGGCTCGCCGAATGGGCCATCAGGGCGCGCCCCCCGGGCCGTCCGAAGGGGCACGTCTCGGGGCTGTGGGCGGGGGAGAGATGGTATCGTGGAGATGGCCCACGGAGACAGACGCGGGTCATGGAAGGGTGACAGAACTGAACTGAGTGTTATGCGAACCTGGCCATGGCTTACAATAGGTCGCAGTTAAAAATAAGTCGCAATGGTCACCGTCAGGTCACAATTCACATAGCCAGGCCAAAAGTCATCAAGGCCAGGGTCCAGTTATTGTCAACCAAAGGTCCTTGTCGGACCTCAAGTCCATGAGTCATTGACCGGTCACATGACTGGAATGAGGGTCAAAGTCACAGATCACGAGGCTGGGTCGAAGGTTCCATCAGGTCCCGTGTCTCTGCGGGCTCACATGCCTCACCTCGGACCCACCTCGTCCGCTGGCTGACGACCATCCCCCGGATTATAATGAGAAATTTCCCCGGGGACGGCACGGCGTTATCGGTGAGTGCGGTTTAATGTGGGGACCATTTTTGCTGGTGCCGCCGAATTGGGTTATCAGCCAGCGATCGGAGCTGCAGATGGCTGGCTGACCCGCGGCGTCAGTGGATATGAGAATACGAGAGACGGCTTCACAGGCCTATGGAACCGATGAGACGTGCAAGAGTGTGACCGTGAGCATTATTTAACGTTTGTTAATTAATGCTGACTTGATGGAAAGTATTTAGTATTTACGGCCTTATGCACCATGGGAAATGTTCACATGAAGGATTGCTGGTACCTATAACAACTTTATGAAATGCGATTAAGGTGACTTTCTGAATCAATCTGTTGATGGGAATATGCAGCTAACTGCGCCTCGATTTTCTAAAGATAAAGCGCTATCTCATATTTAGCTATAAAATTGTCCGTTGGTGACATTTTATTTGAAAGTAACTATCCCCAGTTTAATAGTTCTGGAGAGTTTGTAACAATCTTCACTTCGCTTTTGTGTCGTGGAAATAAAATAGAGTCTATTGAAGTGTCATCGTTTATCATGGATAGCACTTAGCCGCTGACATCGAAACATGGGACGTTTCGAGGATTGCTAGCCAATGAATGTCCCAGTTTTGTTGATAACGAGAAGGCTAGGATTCATGATGGTCAATTTAGTGCTCGTAATGTGCAGTTATGGTGGAATTCGGGCGTTTACTCGGATCATTTTTAGGCACGCCTTGCTGAAATTACATCCATTTATTCCCCGTAATATGATGTGTAATATGATATTTTCTTGAAATCAAAAATCATTGTTAGATGTTTTAAGTCCTACTTCATCCACCTTCATATTGTTTTGCATATGATATTCACATTTTTTCATCATAAAAAAGTCATAAAAATATCATGCTACCCAAACATACAGCCTTGACCAAAATACTCTACTGCGTTGAAGGCATGTGACATCTTCATAAGTCGCGGAACTCATACGAAGACGACGCCTGTCTCTGTAAATTGTGTGAGCTGACGGACCGTCTGTTCTGTGTCTTACAGACGTAGGCAGTGGACGGTGACCTGCTTTGTGTCAGTTGACGGACCGTCTACCGTGTGCTCCACAGACGCAGACGGTGGACAGAGACCTGTCGTCTCCGTCTCGGGGGTCGTAGTCCACCCAAACGGCTCGTTGGCCATATCAGCCGCCACACGGGATCATATTGGTCTCTACACGTGCCAGGCGAGAAACGGCGTGGGACCTCCGCTCACCGCCCGGCCGCAGCTCACAGTCTATGGTGAGTTATTCCCTCACTGCAGCTCACAGTCTATGGTGAGAAGCCCTTCGCAGCCCACAGTCTATGGTAAGATGTCCAACAGATGCAGCTCACAGTCTGGTAAACGATTCAACGACTCTAGCTCACAGTCTATGTATAGTAGGATATCTATTGACTGCAGCTCACAGTAAGTTATCTAATGATTGTAGAGCAGTGAATAACTGTCCGACCACAGATCATAGTTTATGGTAAGATATCCCGACAAAAACACAATAATGTTGAATTTGATACATTTCCCACTGCAGCTCACAGTCATGACGATAACTATATCCTCGACCACGCCTCGAAGTTACTTTTATACAGTTGTGATTAGGCAATGATATTAGTTATTAATAAATATGGTGAATTAGGTCTTATCTAAGCTATTCAATCAAAGCCAGCTCGCCCAACTGTAAAGGACCGCACCGCTCGCAGCTTACCCCAACTCTATCTATCTAAACTTCAGTTTCTATTTAATTTGTTCGAACTCCCTAGCCACTCACCGAACTCCAACCTTTCGAGCCCTGTGCGACCAATTCTAGCCACCGGCCACGTCAATTGGGCACAGCCCCGTTCCATGGCTGTCACTCTGACCTCAGCCTGGAGCCATGTGGGCCCAACATAGCGGCGCTAGCTGGAAGGTGTGAAGAATTCCGGCCATCTCCCCAAAATGGCCTCTGGCGTGCCACTATGGCTGCCGACCGACTTGCCCGCGGCTGCCGCCCAGCCGGTGAAAATTAATATCGAATCGGCCCAGATGTGGACGACAAATGTTTGATTTTGTCGCCGCACCGTGGACCCGCCCCTGGCTGTAAGGCGGTTTAGGGTTTAATATCCGGACGGTCGTGTGAGCGTGTGAGGGGGGGGGGATGAGAGGGGAGCCTGCGGCGGCTGTGCGCTGATTGTGGGCAGGGTCAGGAGTCTGGTCAGGAGAGAGGGTGAGGAGCTACTATACAGTGCCGGGGTCCGAGGCAGGAGCACTACTGCTGGAAAGGAAGAACAAATTCCACTGACGGAGACCGCGCCGAGCCGCAGAGGTCATATAGAAAGAGTCACAAGCCGCTACGGCGAATACCGGCCCATTTCACCCCCGCTGGAACGGCTTTACCGGGCCTGCGGCTACGGAGCCGACATCACAGAGCCCAGGCAAATGAGAAAAGTTGGACTTTTTGCCTGATTGATGCGTGCAGCGCGCCATAGCGAGTTCCGCAGTGCGGTTTGCAAATCCCGCCGTTTGATTGCCAAAGTTGAACCTTTCTCTGAGACGGAGTGGGATTAGTTTGCCTATCGGGGTAGTTCATCGCACCTTAAGCCCGCAAATCTGTGTTTCAACGACCCTATTAACCTATGCATCAGAGCCAGATGCGAATACTTATATCACAGGTCAGAGGCGAAATACGCAATCGGCCCAGACAGGAGACGATAGAAGACGTGTAACAATCCGTTCTTGGTTAGTTTACTGTCATAGCTCGTCGCATGATCTGACTAATTATTTTTTCCTTTTTTCGAATTTATCGGATTTACCGTAGCTATTCAGAAGATGCCTTAGCAGGCTAAGGTAACGGTTCTGACTTCTGATCGACCATGTATTGCCTAAACAAAATAATATTAAAAAGAAAAAATGAGCAACAATCGCTCGACGTCCAAAGGCACAATCAGACAGGCGCATTAGCCCAAACGTATCATTTCGTCTGTATTCCGTTCGTGCGGCTCCATTCTTCGGCTGTAAGTTCCCCGAGTGCACTATATTGCGCCATTGCGTGTGTCGGACACTGTTATATGGCGCTGTTCAGACCTGGTGCAGGCGCCGCCCGCGCGTTCAGACGGCTGGTGTTAATACCGTCCCGCACCTGCAATAAGGCGACGATTGGTAGCGCACTGGTGGTCCAATAAGGCTCAGTGCTGCGCGCTGGCAATGATTGACCTCCAGAGAGCAGAAATGTTATGAGCTCAACAGTGCAGTGGGGATAAAGCGAAGTGTGTCTATTGCATTGTCGATCCTAGTGATATTACTGGACCGTAGCAAGCGTTTCATTTCGTCTTCTTATTGTGTTTATTTTGTCTTTTATGTATTCTGTCAAGCACACGTCTTGTTGGTTTTTACGCCTACTTGTCTTCATGCGTCATTGTATGTTTAGGTTATTCCTGTCCGACCATAGAACAGCCTACTTCACTGTTCTTTTTCACGTTTTGTCGCAGCTGCGCCGTCGTTTGCCGAGCTGGGTGGCGTCGAACGGTACAGGGAGGGTCAGAACGTGACCTTGACCTGTGACCCCGAGGGAGATGAGCCGCTCTCGCTGCAGTGGTTCAGGGAAGGTCAGCCCGTCCAGGACAGCTTCAGGTGAGCCGAATGAAGCACCGAGGTTCAGATATTTACATTTACAGCTCCAGACACTTACATTGATACATATTTACAGTGTCAGTGGGATAATCAAAGTCAATTTTATCACAGTGGGAGTGTGAAACTCACGGTATCATCCAGGAACCTGAGTTTCAAAGTATGTAAGACGACCGCTGTCACAATTGCTTTCAGTGTAATGATGGAGCAGTTTCAGACAGCCTCAGAGGGGCGCATGACAGTCATCGTGTAATCATGAATATGTCTTTAATAAAAGCAAGCATGTTTATGCATGCTTTTATTATATATTTTGGGATGAAGAAGGAACGGGTTATATTTTTATGCATATCCTGGGTGTCTGTGATCAGATGTGACGGGGAATCCCCGTCACATCTGATTACCGTCCGTTCCTCTACCTACTGTCCCGTCTCACCCTGGACCGTGTACCGCCAGGCTGGTAATACGGCCTTGGAAGGACGCTGCGAACGGCTCCCACTGCAGCTTAGTGCTGCTGAGAGCAGTACCCACCGACTCTGGCCAGTACAGCTGCCGGGCCACCAACGGCAGGGGCACAGCCACGCGCACCGTCCACCTCGAGATCGAAGGTGAGCTCAATGGTACTCGATCTCAGAGGAACTCACACACCAGCACAAGTACATTTTTTATCATCTTTGACGGCTTTCTATTTTGTATTCAGTTAGCGTCTGACCGTGGGTATCTAATAGATTAGCAAACGTCGGTGATGTCTTATCCCTCGCCCTGGCAGGGCATTTTTCATAACACGGCCTGGCAGGGGGGGGGGATCGATGCGACCCCCCCCCTCGCGATTGGCTCCTATGGCACCTAGAAACACCAAATTTGGTAGGTAGGTGGGCCCCCTGGAGTTCTCGCCCCTGTGCAAATTTGGTTGCTCTAGGTCAATATTTAGGGGGGTTTTTGGGGGGGGGGGTATAAATGCAAAAATTTCGCTAAAAACAGGTCAAAAGTTTTTCGCTTATAACTTTTGATCTAATTAAGATAGAGCAAAAAGAAAAGCACCAGCGAACTCAGCACGTCAAGGCGCGTCGAATGATATACTTTTTAGCTTGCTTAAGTGTACTTAAAGTTTTTCTTAAATTTTAAGTAAACTTAAATTAATAAATTAAGTTAAAGTTAACCAAATTGCATCATATCGCATATCATTCGATTCGGCTGATCACCAGAAACACAATGATACCATTTTTTAAGCTCTAGCGTCATTAAATGCCAAGTTATTGGCAAAAACGTCATTTGACCTCAGTTGAACTCATTTGACCTGACCCATGGATAAGTACACCAAACAAAGAAGCACCAAGTGACCTGCTGTTAATTACTGTGGTTTCAAAGCACAAAAGTGATAGAACGAAGCGGATATCTCCAGTATTTTCCGAATTTAGTATTTTCCCATAGGCTTAACATTACGACGTAATGACCTCTAACTGACCTCAGGTCAGTGACCTCAAAAAACCCGAACTATATGTTATACAACTCGGTGAACTTAGCACATCCTGAAAGTTTGAAGGAAATCAGTGCAAAACTGTGAGTTGGACAGGTGCAAAAAGAAAATTGAAATTTGACCATGACCTTGTACCGGTTTTTCTGACCTGGTGACCTGACCCAAGGTCACCCGGACCTGAAATTTTCAGGTCATATGTAAAAAGGTTGCCCCATAGGCTGTGCCAAATTTGGCGGCGCTGCGCGCCGCCGTTTTTACGCTATCTTTGAAAAACCTTAGGGGGGGGGGTCGCATCGACCCCCCCCCCTGCCAGGGCGAGGGTTATAGTTTATGTGTTCAGGTCTGACGTTGAACGACCCGAACGGTCGTGAGGCACTGTCTGCTGGACGCATTTGCATATTTATACAGATACAATGGATATGTGATAATGGGACCGCAAAGACGCATGCCCCTATCGACGAGTAGCCTGAGAGACATGTGATATAAGGAACCTCCTGTGACCTTTCCGTGACCTTTGTGACCTCAGAGACCTCTGAGACTTGTGACCACGAAGACCTCCCATGACCCTTGTGACCTCATTAACTTCTCATATACTTCAGAGATGACTTAGGTTCTGGTTGTGACCTTATTTATCTCTCATGGCCTATGCAACCTCATTAAGCTAGTAGTGACCAGCGTGACCTCTGACCTCCCGTAACCCATGTGCCCTTAGATACTCCGCTGCCGCCGAGCCGGGTACGGCTGGTGGAGGTTCTGAGCAGGTCCCTGACGGTGGAGTGGCACCAGCCGGCCAAGGTCAGCAGGCACCTCACCGGCTACCGTCTCCAGTACAAAACGGCAGCAGGTCAGTACATAGTCGCATATGCACATACTTATGTTTACAGATACAGATGTGCCCATTGCCAGGCAATACAAGCCGGCGGCAAGTAAGTGCCAAAAGTCGCCTTACAGATAAGGATCCGTGCAGCTACCTACATATAAATGATAAAGGTCAGCAGCGACATACAGAGAGTCGGTAGAAAGTAGCACCCCAAAGTCTGATATGATTGAAAAATGGATTTAAACAATGCGGTTTTGCCGTGACATTTCTCATTCTCAATTTAGTGGCAGAATTGTTTTAAACTTTAATTTATATTTCTAAAATGTATGAAGCAATAAAGGCTCTAAATTTGCACAAATCTCGACGTTGAGGCGTATTAAGAGAGGCGAAGACGTCACACTCAGTAAAGCACTCATGACCGTTCCCGCTTACGGTCGGTAAATCTTCATGGAAACAATAAAACGGCTTTGAGCTCCACCGAGCCGCTTTTATCTTCCGCGTCAGGACGTTTGTCATGAAACGTCCTCCCAGAAACCATGAATATCCGTCCCTAACGACAGCCGGGTATCCGGGCGTCAATTCGAGTCGCCGCCCCGCGGGGCCGTCGTTGCGGCTCTGCGGTCTGGGAAACTGGGGGACGGGAGATCACTGCGGGGGACGGGGTTATGTGGGGAGTGGACGTGAGGGAACGGAGGTCACCGCAGGAAACTGAGGGATGTGAGGAATATATTATTGCAGGGGACGGATAATATTGGAAGTCAATTCAGACGGTTGAAGGTCACTACCAGGTCACTGTGCCGCATATAACGGGACTGCTCACGGCAATGGTCGAGCTGTAGGGGATGCATCTGTATGATCTTTGTTTCCGTATCTGTCCATTCTCAGGAGACTGGGATACAGCGGTGACGGCCACGCTGTCTGCTGTATCTGTATCTCTGTATTTCTGTATCTTTTCCCATTCTCAGGAGACTGGGATACAGCGGTGACGGCCACGCTGTCTGCTGTATCTGTATCTCTGTATTTCTGTATCTCTATCCGTTCTCAGGAGACTGGGATACAGCGGTGACGGCCACGCTGTCTGCTGTATCTGTATCTCTGTATTTCTGTATCTTTTCCCATTCTCAGGAGACTGGGATACAGCGGTGACGGCCACGCTGTCTGCTGTATCTGTATCTCTGTATTTCTGTATCTTTTCCCATTCTCAGGAGACTGGGATACAGCGGTGACTGCCGTGCTGTCTGCTGTATCTGTATCTCTGTATTTCTGTATCTTTTCCCATTCTCAGGAGACTGGGACACGGCGGTGACGGCCGTGCTCTCGGGCCGCCGGGTCCGCCTCTCCGGTCTCCAGCCGGACACGGAATATGTCCTCCGTCCGCTGGCCGTCACTGAGCTGGGAGCCGGACCGCCCGGCCGACCCCTGCACGTGCGCACAGAGCCCGCCGCGCCGTCCCAGCCGCCCGCCGAGCTCAGCCTGGTGCCCCTGTCCGCCACCGAGGTCAAGGTCACCTGGAGACCGCCGCCGGTCGGGTCACACCACGGACGGCTGACCGGCTACCGGGTCACCTGGGAGAGGTGAGTGACAATCTCAGGGTGGATCATATGAGGAAGCCAAGACGGGTCAACTGATGAGGGTCAATGACCTTGCAGGACAGGTCACCTGGAGAGGTAAGTGACCTTAAGACTCATCGGATTGCGTATTGAGTTACCTGGTCAGTGACCTCAGAATGGTTGCTGTTACGCGGTAGCTGCTGATCTTTAGGCTGGGGGGATCCATGTGATCGATGACTTAGCCTAAGGCATGACCAGCCTTAGGCTAAGTCATGCCATTGAGCTCGGCATTATACAGTCCGGCTAGGACGACTGCATCAGTACCATCATACACTTGTCAGTGGTGAGCGGTCGCATTCCCAGCAGCGTCTCCTCAAGAGACTGATGTTCTGGTAATGGTCAGCTAATGGAGAGACGAACCATCCCGGCACGGGCGCTATATATCTGCCGGTCCCCGAGATATGAGCTGGCGCACATAGCTGGCAGCCGCTCATCTCATGGGCCATTGAGCCGTGCGGACGAGTGGTGCCACACGCGGGGTGTCAGCCGTCGGCGCAGCGGACCGACCGGCCGCGCCATCGGTCATACCGCCTCATCACATCTTCACCGTTCATTAACTGGTGCCGTCCGCTGGAGGAGGGGGGGGGGGGGGCGCCTCATCTGACGGCCGTATTATCGGCTCGGGAGGCGCCGGCACTGCCCATCAGGCGAGCTCAGGGTCGGGATGCTCCCATCGGCGAGCCGACGAGCCGCCGCGGGCCAAACGGACCGGCCGCCGCCACCGACACGGAGAGCTACGACCGGCTGACATCGACCGGCGCGACGGCGCATCGACGCCTGGGCCGGGACGGCGGGAATTCACTCGGCGGAGGGTCCTCTCACAGCTCCCGGCGACTTCTCACAGACTGTCACAGGGCGGCTGTTGGCACCCTCGGTCCAGAAATACCTACTTCCTCTGCTCCCTTCACTCGTCGTCTATCCTTAGACGCAAGGTAGCAACATCTCTTCGTTTATCCCCAACTGGAACCCTTTGCTCGTTTCCACCAGGGTAGTGCCGTCCTTTCATTCATTCCACGGCTTCTCCTCTGTCCTCTCTAGCCATCTGCTCAGTTATGGATATTCCTTTTTTAGTCCCAAAGACACGTGCTGATGTTCTGCCTCCAGTGAGGTCTCTTCTTAGTTTATACGGACTTGTTTCCTGATAGCGTTGTCAACCGCTGATCCGGTGGCTCGCCTCATAATCCAGCGATATTTTACCCCCCCCCCCCCCAATTCACCTATGTCTCCTTCTTGATCCAGCCTGACTTTTCGCCGGTCTTCGTTCGTGGCTGGAGTTGATCCTCTGTGACCTTCCCGTGTTCCAAGTTATCCCCCCGGATAAATTAACTGTCGCACTGCGGCTGGTCCCATCTGTAACCTTTCTTTAATCACAGCGAGCCTGACGCCAAGCTCCATTTCATAGGTGATCACGCTTGCCTTGCAGTCGTTCACCACTCAATTCAGTATGATAGGCGTGGCAGGATGCGCTGGCGGCGATCGGTTTATCCGCCGGCGCCACTCCGGCTGCCATGTGGAGAGCCTCTGCCGTGGACGTCTCATTTGCCTGCGGAGTTGATGTGCCACCGACGGCTGTTTCAGAGCCAACACGTCTGACGGAGCGCCGGCGGCCGAGGCAGGCTCGGAGCTCAACACCAGCGCCCTGTCGGTGTCGCTGGTCTCACTGCAGCCGTTCTCAGTATACCGGGTCCGAGTATCTGCCTGTAACGAGCGCGGCTGCGGGCCCGCCGCCCCGGCCGGACTGGTGAGGACCCTGGAGGATGTACCGACGGCGGCACCCGGCCGACTGAGGTGTCAGTCGCTGGGACCGCGACGGCTGGCCCTCAGCTGGGCGCCGCCGCCGGCCGAACAGACCAACGGCAATCTGCGCGGATACAAGGTCAAAACGGAGGCGACCCAGGAGAGAGACGGTCAGTGGCTGAGGGTAAAACGAGGGTAGACTGAGGGTAGAAGGAGGGTAGATGGAGGGTAGAAGGAGGGTAGACGGCAAGACGGCCAGTGGACGGGGAAGACAAATATAGGTACACGGTGCCTTGTCTCTGGGATCAGCTGGTCAATTATTTGAGAAAATGGAAAAAGAAGTGTTTTACAGTTTATTATTATGTTTTGTCATGCACAACGTGTTGTATTTTGTATAAATCAGTCAGTCTGAACGGTTGTTACCAACTTTTGAACCATGACCGTAAACTTTAGCTGAAGTTGACTGGTCGCAAGACGGATGTTGTATGGCTCAAAACTCGGAAGCTGCCTTGTGAAGGCACCTTTATCACAGGGAAAGCTGTCGGCGATCCCTCATATCGACCGATTACTCTTCTTGTGACGCTGGCGCCGACCTGACCAGACCCAGAGATATAATGTGTTCAGGCCAGCTGTATGATCTTTATCTAGGATGCTGACCTGTCCTGTTTTGTGTGCAGCTTAGCTTGGCCAACTATTTTATTCACTCTGCAAAGCCATCTTGACCTGTCCTGACGTGCCCCGCCCCGCGCTCTGTGCCCAGGTGAGCTGTTTTACTCGGAGCTGGACGTGGTGGAGGCGGCGGTGACCGTCTCCGACCTCAGTCCCCACGTCAACCACTCGCTGAGGGTGGCGGGGGTGACAGGGGTGGGGGCCGGCGTGTTCAGCGAGCCCGTCTACTGCGCCACCAGACAGGACGGTGAGGACGAGCTGCCGCCGCTGCTGCAGTGCCAGTATGCGCCGCAACAATACAGCTATCAAGATCGTTTACACAAAACATTGCTGTATTGCATTGAAAACACCCAAAAATCTTATCTTTTCGATGCCCATTTCGGACGGTCTTTAAAAGCAGAATGTTGAATCTCTTTACCTCTACTATGCACGAATATCTGTTTAAGGTGCCACTGCTTGTCATGGCCCGGAAAGCAATTATATCCTTTGATGTGTCAGCTAAACGTTTAGTGAAACAATGATGCATGTTTTACTGCCTTGCAAAGCTCATCTTCCATGTGTCGTAAAACGAGGCCAGTTAATATTTCAATGCAACGGGGATTTAGACCATGATTGACCTATGTAGCTAAAAAAAAACTTAATGAACCAATTAACATCTCTTTGGGAGATTTGTCCTTTGGTATTTTGGATAATTGCCAGCATAACGTAATGTCCACATTTGATGTCGAATAGGTACAACATCAAATGAATAATCCAAATAGTCGCAAAATTGCATCTTGCATGCAACTACAAGCTTTGGGTAAGCTGTTGTGGGTCAGCGCTCAATTGCACTGTGCCTTTGTTTAAAGACATTCCGCACCATCCACTGACCCTTTTGATACACGTCAACACATCGTTTCTGAACTGTCATGTTGAAGCGTGCTACGATTGCAAACAGGCTCAATGCGCTATAATAATGGGACCTTGTAACGCATCCTTAAAGTATGCCAATCAATAATAACAAAAGGTAGCAAAAGGATGCCAGCCTTTTTGAATGGTTTAAGAGGGTATACGATTATTCGTCTCTTTCGATATGCTTAATTTTTTGTCTGGCGAAGTTGGCTGTGACCGTGATCTTTGATATGCATGTAATCGTTCATCCCACTCCTCCGAGATTTTACTTATTTCTTCAGTATTCGTGCAGTGTCATATACGAACCTCCCTCTTCTATGGTGGCTAAAGCTCCATCTGAGCCGACCGCTGTCTCCGTGAGTCTCTGTGATATGATCTCTGCTCTATGCCACAGAGTAGTCGTAGCCTGCCGCAGTCCCGAAGCCGTCCAGTCTCTGATATGAACCTTTCGTCTGCCGCAGTACTCTCCATACAGCCGTTCAATACGAATCCTTTTTCGCAGTGCCATCGGAGCCTGCCGCCGTCTCTGTGGCTGTCCAGTCGGAGCAGAGTGCCCTGATCAGCTGGTTACCGCCGGAACATCCGAACGGAGAGCTTACATCCTACAGCGTCTACATCAGGTCAGTACAGCGTCTACATCAGGTTAGTACAGCGTCTACATCAGGTCAGTACAGCGTCTACATCAGGTCAGTACAGCGTCTACATCAGGTCAGTACAGCGTCTACATCAGGTCAGTACAGCGTCTACATCAGGTCAGTACAGCGTCTATATCAGGTGTCAGAGCTTACATCCTACAGCGTCTACATCAGGTCAGTACAGCGTCTACATCAGGTCAAGCGTCTATATCAGGTGTCAGAGCTCACCTCCTACAGCGTATACATTAGGTCAGTTGGAACGGCGAGCTCACCTCATACTGCTACTACATCAAGTCAGTCTAGCAGGCTCGGCGTTGCAGTGTTTGCAGGTATTTTAGAGGTCTATTCGCCCGGCTTGGTGGTGTCGGTGTGTGCTTAAATGCCTACCTGGTCGATGGGGATGCGTCGTCTTTCGTGCGACTTTCTAACCGTACAGCGCCAGTGGTTTCTCGTATGTTTCGCGCTCTGTCTGTTTAGTTTCGCGACATTGCTGACTGCTGATTGAGGTCTGCCTGAAAAATGTGATTAACTGTTTGACGATATCTTTTGCCAGACGTTTATAGATTTGGTTTGGCTTTGCTTCAGTTTGACGGAGAATCAAATTTGTCTATCAGGAATGTGTTTGTGCGACATTTATTTGCTTTGTTTCCTTCAGAACGGTGTCGTTGTGTTTAATCGACATATATTGTACTTTGTATGTCCTTCAGGACGGTGTCGCCGACGGCGGCGGCCTCGGAGGAGCGGGTCGGGGTGCCCGCCTCCCGCACCCTGTACCCTCTGTCGGGCCTCAGCCGGAGCGGCGACTACGCCGTCCGAGTGACCGGTCACACCGCCGCCGGCGAGGGGCGGCCGTCGCGACCGGTACCGTTCACCACCGCACTCGGCGACGCAGGTAAGGACTCTGGAGGGCTTGTCCGGGCCCAGGCCAGCGCCTAATGGGTCAGTCAATATAATCGCTGACAGTTCATTGCTGTTGATTTTTATCATTGCAATTTGATTAATCCTGAGGGATGATGTGACCATGTGCAGCCTCTTTTATTGCCAGTAACAGTGTATGACTTTCCCTGAGCACTTCTTTTTGCATCTTCCTCCGTGACCCTTGATGACCACCATTGACGTACTTCGAGATAAATCGCCCTTTATATGCTTATTATCGTCGTGACCTCACTTGACCCCTCGTCGCATCAGTGACCTGTCTTTTCGTCCCCCCCCCCCCATCACCGTCCATTCCTCTGTTCCCAGCTCCATTTCTCCCTGCGACCCGTCTAACCGTCTCGTCGTTTCGCCCCCAGTGCCCGTTCAGTTGGTCTCTCTGAGTCGCTCCCTTCCCTTCCAGACGTGTCTAACAGTCTCGTCTTCTGCCCCCAGTTCCCGTTCAGTTGGTCTCTCTGAGTCGCCCAGTCGCTGTGGATGAGGACAGCGCTCTCAGCCTACCCTGTCAGTTTGTCGGAGAGCCCACACCTACTGCAACCTGGGAGCGTGACGGACAGCCCCTGGATGACCCCAGGTCAGTGAGAGGTCACAGGTCAGAGGTGCCGGGTCAGCCTGCAGGCGATTCCAGATCATTGCAGAAAAAGAGCCGACTACGTATCATGTCATAGTCGATACGAAGTGTAGGTCGTTGAGGCTATAGACGACGTCCCTCAGCTGTCACTCAAAGACGATCTTATGTCATTGAAATCTGACTACGCACTTCACCTGTGATTTAGCTTTATCTATCAGCCGTGGTATTACTAAAACCTACGGGACAAAATCCGTCACACCACCCCCGACCCGATCCTGCCCACGCAGTAGTTATCGCGGCTGGCGTGGGCAGCCGGCCGGGGACCGGAGCGGCCGCGGCTGGCCGGCCACTGGGTCAACGGCTCTGCCATTTCTGATCGTTCAGCAGTGCTGAGTCGTAGAGCACGCCGTTCCGATACCAGAGCGCGCCACTTTATTGGGTTTGAGCGTCGTAAAATGTCCCATCAAAACACGGGGCGGCGCGCCGCGCAGCCAAATCCCGCGGTGGGACGACGGCCCGCGGCCCGGCGGTGGCTCAGCCATCACACCGCTCGGGATGGTGCTCGCTATGGAAATTAATGAGCCATTTGGTGGTCGGATGCGCTATTTTTACAACAAATGAGGCCCGGCCACAATGGGAGCAGCGGGTGTGATATACTGGAAATTATGACTGGGACGCGATAAGATGCACAAAACGAGGTTTAAAATCGCAGTGTCGACTCGATGCTCCAAAAAAGCCTCACCGTCCTCTTATAAGTATCAGTAAGTAGCTAAATATTCACCAGCCCATTGTTATTTGTGGATCTCCAGTAAATTGACGTTCCTCTTGGTTGCATTATTGACAGCCTTTTGACGGAGACAAAAGGACTGCTCGTAATTTTAGCCGTTCAGCCAGTTCAACGTTGTGAGGGGTATCGATCAGAAGTGGCTTCGCTGGCTTCAGAAATGGCTAGTGTGTCCGATGAACACAGTTCAGTTGTCAAACATAAATCAGCGGCGTTTCCCAAAGACACATTGAGGCTGTTTTACCTAAACAGATAAATCTTGCGCCTAGTGAGGTGGACCATAGGGCAATTATTATCTTTAGTTAGTTCTTTATTCCAATCGTGATGTACGATAAAGCACAGCTGTACATTTTATACACGTAACTATGTCCAATAGTATTTTGTTGCATGCTCTTACCAAATGACACAGTCAAACGAACTCCTTCCCAGGTTCAGCCGTCGGCCGGACGGGTCGCTGCGGTTAGACCACGTGACCCGGGCAGACGACGGCAACTACACGTGTCGCGTGACCAACGGGCAGAGCAGCGGAGCCGTCACCTACGCTGTCACCGTGCTCGGTGGGTGCTCCCCTTCTCTCTTTCTCCTCTCTCTCTCTCTCTCTCTCTCTCTCTCTCTCTCTCTCTCTCTCTCTCTCTCTCTCTCTCTCTCTCTCGCTCTCTCTCTCTCTCTCTCTCTCTCACTCACTTTTCCTCTCTATTCCTCTTCTTTCTTTTTCTCCCCTCCCCTTCCTCTCTTCCTCCCTCACATGCATCTAAGTGGTAATTATGTATGGCTTAACCCGCGCCCCGCTTGGGGGGCGGGGGCAGCATCTGCCCCCCTCCCGTTTTTCGCCAATAACTTCTAAACGCGTTACGCCAGCGACGTCAAACGTTCAGTACCTTATCATACATTAATTTGACACGTTCCCTGAAAATTTGAGCGAAATCCGTCAGAACATTTTTGAGAAATTGACGTTTTAGTGACGTCATGTTCGCCATTTTCGCCTCAAAAACGGCAAAATTCCAAACGCCGCTAACATCTTCATTTTTTAAGGAATCAAGACGTAACAAAAAGATTATACGTGATTCTACTTTGTCTATCAAATGGCTATCTCGGTTTTTTTGAATATTTTGGATTTTGGCCCAAATTTTTTTTCAAAAAACTTTTTTTTGGAAAATTATTATAAAATCCAAAATTTTGAGTGTATCGAAAAAACCGGAATACATGTAAGAGAAGTGGTCTATGTGCACCTACATACCAATTTTTAGAAGAATCGGTAAAAAATGTGGGAGTTATTCAAAATTTTATGACGATACGACACAACATTTTGAAAAATGATTTTTTTTGGGAAGTTCTAGACCTCGTACTGAAACACAAATAGCACCATTCGATTTGCCGTGAAAAACTGCATCAGATAGACACCTTTCTAGGCCTTAGCAACCAACTTCAAAATTTGACCTCACTTGACCTGACCTTGACCTGACCTCGACCTGAAATTCATCCAGAGGTGGTCCATATCACTTATTGAGTGTGCCTATTGAATTCTATGAGTAAAATGACCCATAAAACATGTGTCGCACATGCCATTTCTATATTTGTTTTTGGTGACCTGACCTGACCTGACCTGACCTGACCTTGACCTTGACCTTTGAATGACATTTTATGCAACGGATATTGTCTTGGTAGTCTAAGAACACGTTTTGGGCAATCAGTCTCAGTCCATTCTTCGGCAACTACGGTGCAAGGCCGATACTGTAGAAACTTGCATTTTGTACCCTTGACCTGACCTTGACCTGACCTCTGACCTACTTAAGCAAAAAATTTGGGCTCTTAAGATTCGCCTTGTTAAGAGCTTTCGTTTGCAGTTTTCCCCGTCTTTCTACGACCATCGGTTCGGAAGTTAGACAGGGGGGGGGGCAGAATCTGCCCCCCCCCCCCCCCTCCAGCAGGGCGCGTATGGCTGAATAGCCCAGCGGGGCGCGGGTTAATGATTGACGATCGACATTCTTTATTAGATATTGTTTTAAGTGCATATTGAGTTTTATTTTTTATCGATCTTTGTTTCATATTCCATTTCCCTGTACCTAAGTCTGTCACATGTCGTGTGATCCGTGCTCCTCATGTATGCCCGTTCTCTGACATCTGTTTTACGCCCTCAGGAGTGCCACCGGCTCCGTCCCTGCTGGTGAGCGGCGTCACCTCGGACTCTGTGGCCGTCCGCTGGTCCTCGGGAGACCCCCACGGCCTGGTCATCAGGGGCTACCGGCTGCAGTACTGGCCCGCCGGACACGAGCGGCGAATGGAGGTCGGACTCGAGCGCTTCGTCCGCGAGTACACGCTGGCGGGACTGACGTGTGGGACTGAGTACCAGCTGCAGCTGAGGGCCTTCAACAGGTGAGAATTTGTAAAGTACGCCGACTACCAACTTCTGTTGAGGGCCTTCAATAGGCCAGTACTTGCGCTACAACAGACCAGTTACCCAATACAGGTGCTGCGTTATATTTGGCAATAAATGAATACTCTCATCTTCAGCCGAAGTCTGTAACTACCTCGAAGCATAGCCGCTCATGCCAAAACTGCACTTGTGAAGCAGTTCATCATGGACGCCGAATGCTGCATATTTGAGAGGTGCATCACCTCCCCCCTCCCCCAAGCAAGTTGAATTAGGCCACTGCAGGGTTTGTTGAAAGCTTCATTCGCTACGTACCGTTTCGGGGGCCGATCATACACCCCGATGGTGGGAACAGCGGCACCTGTCGACTGCAGTCGATACACAGCTCCTGCAGCTCCTAATGCCGACAGTTCAATGGCCGTACCCCTGAACTGGTCAAATGACCAGCGCTCACAGACATACAACGTTCATGACTGGCCATATGTCCAACTCACTTCCAGGGGTAACAATAACAACTAGTCTGGTGCTAGTAATGGATACCTGGCCTGTTCGGAATGATAAATTAGCCACGTAAAGCGAGACATATCGCTCTGCTGGCATTCTGATGCAGTTAAACGGGCGCGCGCTATTCATCATATCAATATGGTTTTCCTGGAATGCATTCAACTTGATTCACAAGACTTATAGAAGACTATTGACATGAAATGCGAAAACTACATGGCCAAACTCAGCAGGGATGCGGAGCCGTGGAAATTTCAGACGGCTCCGGCTCCAGCTCCGGCTCCGGAGAAAAAAATCGGCTCCGGCTCCGGCTCCGGCTCCGGCTCCGAGTAAAATGATCCGGCTCCGGCGGCTCCGGCTCCGGCTTCTACTCAGTGCATCCCCTATGCGATCAATTAGATACGGGTGGAAGAAAAAAGGCGATGGGATTGGTACACGTTGCGTCTGTATTTGTATAACAAGGCTATTTTGAATACCACATTGTTTTACGCCTTGTACTGTCAAACCGAACCAGGTAAATAATTGTTTCCTCTTAAGAAAAGGAGCCGGAGTCGCCCCCTTTTTTGACGGCTCCGGCTCCGGCTCCGGCTCCGGGCTATATTGTTTCACGGCTCCGGCTCCGGGCAAAATATGCCGGCTCCGGCGGCTCCGGCTCCGGCTCCGGCTCCGGCTCCGCATCCCTGGGCCAAAGTAAACAACGGAAGCTTCGACATAGCTTGTATGCTTGTCACTTCGTCTGGTCTGCAGACATCTAGCGGTGGTTCTGAGAGCTGCTTTATACATAGATGACGCGCTGGTCGGGAGCAGTGCCTTTGCGCTCACTGAGGAATTTCGTTTCACCGTCTCGATGCAGTGACTCGCCATTGGTAGGTCAAAGACGACGATTTGTGGCCTGTGTTTGCAGTATGTTCATGCAGTATGCACGAACTCACCGTCCATTTTTTTTTTAAGTGGGTGTCTTAGTTTGTGGGCTAAAATGTCATAAATACTTCACGAAGACGATTGAGAAACCTTCAGCAGCTCTTTCCGTAATATGCGGTCAAATTTTATTTTAAAACAATATTGCTGACAACCAGTGGTCAATGAAACGTCAAAATCACTACTGATGCGAGACTATTTTATGCCACAATTTCGAACGCATCAAGGTACAAAACAACTTTTTCTCACCATACCATGTAGCTATGGCCAATATCGCTGCGCGATACTTGGATTCAGGGCTGCGGGAGTCGGTCGGAGTCGACAGTTGTGACCGGAGTCGGAGTCGGAGTCGGAGTCGATTTTAGAAACCCGAGCCGGAGTCGGAGTCGGAGTCACCGAAAATCTGTCGACTCCGCAGCCCTGCTAGGTCTGCGGAGTCGGAGTCGGGAGTTGGAGTCGGTCGGAGTCGACAATTCTGCCCGGAGTCGGAGTCGGAGTCGCCGAAAATCCATCGACTCCGCAGCCCTGCTTGTGGTGACCTAAACAGCGAACGGATACAGCTTTCACTAAATGAAGACCAGTAGCGGCGGAACACCTTCAATTAAAGGGGGGCACTGCCGACTTTTGGTCCCATTCTTTCCATGCAACGCCCATAGGGCTAATGTTAAAATGCCAAAATCAAAGGGGGGGGGGCAAGGTGCCCCGGTGCCCTCCCCGTTCCGCCGCCTATGATGAAGACGCATTTTAGGGAGTGCTGAAAGCGATGAAATAGACCTATGACGCTGCATTGTGGTATTTTTTCTGTGTTTCTAGTCGTACGGCCACTATCTTGGACGATCTGAACGTTCAACCATCCGAACGTAAATCATATCGGTTCGTAGTAAATCAAAGAACGAAAGAAATGTGACAAAGTGAGTCAACACCGCGAGAAAATGAACTCTTACGCAGCTCCGTGTCTGGAGACACACCCAGTACCCGTGGTGTCACAGGCTTACAACAATAATGGTACCGTGGCTCTCACACAAATACTGTCCAAAGTCCGGCGGGCATTCTCAGCAGATTACAGGTCCCTTGACTATCAAGTGAGTTTTCAGTCCACCGATAACTTCTGACAAGTTACAATTGCCACGCATGGTCTACATATTTAATATAAAACTGTCTATAACGCATATTAAGTCGACGTCACGCAGATCACGCCACCAAGTCCGGCAGCTCAAAGTACTGCCATGAAGCGTTGATGACGTCACGGTTTGTGGTCAAAGCGCGTACAAATGACCGATAATGAGAGAGTGCCTCCCATCCATCACCGTTCAGATGTGGCAGTGCGCGCTGTTGCGTCACTGGACAGCCATTTGTTCCTCGGGCGGCGAGGACATGAAAACTTGACCTGACCTAAGCAGACGACCCTTTGACATTGAGGGAATTTCTGTGAGTTTGGTAGGATCTGGCCTGGCTTGGCCTGAGCATTTCATTTTTGCTTGTGTTTTATATGCGCGGTTTGATATTTCTTGCACAGGTATTGCCGTTCTAATAATGTTGGTGCCGAGTACACTCGCTGGTAGTGGTGACGCAATCGCTTTCCTTCCTGTCTATAAAATAGGTTGATATTTGTGATTTGTAAGTGTTTGGCTCACTTCAGCAGACAGTCAATTACGGAGTGCTGATGGGAGTATGCTCCAAAAATAACCCGTCGTGAGCTGCAACTTGCAACACCTGACGCTACTCGTGTTCTGTGGGCTCCTTGGCTGCCGGTCTTACGCCGTCGGCTATTTAGCGCCGTGTCATAAACTGAGGCTGTGGATGAGGGGCACTTCGGTGTCACGACGAACCTTTCTAATCAAATACAGCAGCGATAAAATACCAGCGACTCACTGCTCAACGCATGACTGAAAACTCATAAAGACATTCAGACAAGTGTCATCCCAGCCGATCACAGATATTGATAAGCAAACGTCACATCTCCGTTGCGCAACTCATGTGTCACGCGCGAGCATCCCAGCCTTGTGTGGGAGGGCTGGTAAAGTGACAGTCACTTTCTACTAAGATAGGACGTCGGCAACACGTTACGCGTAAATATTTTGAAATGGTATTAGCAGTACCTATTATGCTTGCTAAGTAATAATGTCATGTTTTCATGTCAGCGGACAAAATGCCCACAGCATAATGTTGGATGCACCTTCCTGTATTGACTTCGTTTCCAGAGGTAATTAATAAGATCGCACGGGTGGAGTAAATACTGTTCGCCACAGTGGACAAGGTTTCAGACTGTGTGACCACATGCCGTCATCCACACTCCATATAGCTTACCAGTCAGTTACTCGACACTTTTGCTTAGTTGTTTTTTTTTTTTTTTGCATAATCACCTGCAGGATGAGCGCCGGTCGCCTAATGTTCCTGTCCAATAACGAAAGAAATGGAACTGCTGAGATGTGGGGAAGTCAGCATGTTAACGACTTTATACTCCCGTAGACTGTGTCACGTTACTCTGTCGTCCCCAGACTGGGTGCCAGTGAGCCGAGCTCGACGGCCCGAGCGCGCACAGCCGGCCGCCCGCCAGCCCTGGCCGACAAAACGCGTCTGGTGGCCGTAAACGGCACAGCGGCCGTGGTGCGCCTGGCCCTGTGGACGGCCGCCGACTGCCCCGTCCGACGGTTCGTCATCGGATGGACCCCCGCGGACGGCGAGCACACCAGTAAGATCATACGGGGTTAACTGATAAGAACACAGGAACACGATCTTAAACACTTTATATTGATTTATCAATTCACCAGTCATATCAGAGACTGAGACAGACGATCCCGATTACGTGAACTCCGTACAATCTGTTCATGGTGGTATCATGGTCTGAATACATTGTTTCAACTGTACAGTGTTCTGTTCAGCCCGTGCAGCGAGTGCCAGTGGCACTGGCTGGCGAGACGGCTGCGTCGCAGTCTCCGTGCATTGCGGCACAGCCTACCCACTCACTACTGCAGAACCGTCAAACTTATACAGTGCCGGTCAGCCGGTAGTTTGTGTAACTTATTTGTGAGTCGGTTCAGAATCCCAGAACAACATGTTCCCGAAATGCGTTTGTCATGGATTCGACATTCTGTTTAAATATTCATGGCTATTGAATGTTTTACCGATGGTTACTAGCTTCCTCCCATTGTTGGTGGTTCAGCGAGCTCCAGCGGCCATAGATCGCTGACAGGTCTCTCCCCGTGTCCACAGTGAGTGTCGAGCTGCCCGGTGACACCCGGCAGCACGTCATCCGCCGCCTGCTGCCCGCCACCGAGTACGTCATCAACGTGACGGCCGTCAGCCCGGCGGGCGCCGCGTCACTCACGTCACGGCTGGTGACGCCCGCCGCCGTCGGTAGGTGACGTGAGACGTTACGGACGGCGTTTGGTGCTAGTTTTCAGTGTTCCTGTCGGTGGTGACGGCAGCCGTTACGGACGGCGTTTGGTGTTATTTTTCAGTGTTCCCGTCGGTAGGTGACGTGAGCCGTTACGGACGGCGTTTGGTGTTATTTTGCAGTGCTCATGTCGGTGGTGACGGCAGCCGTTACGGACGGGGTCGGGGCGGACCGGTGTTCGTTTTCAGTGTTCTTTTCAGTACCTGACACCGTCGTTATATCCATAAGCGAGGGAATGAGTCGGGCCATGAGGCAGAAGGTTTAGACTGTCTGATTTCCGGCTTAATTTGATACTGGGTGTCTCCTCTATCGCATACGTTCGTTATCGACCGTTTTTATGGGAACTGGTCTCTGACAGCTTTGCTCTTTTAAATGCTAGAAGCCGACTAAATATGATTAATTCTTATTGATGACATTTTGAGCTAGAACAATAACTGTAAGACCAGCATTTGCATGTCTGCTCAGTGCTCTATATCCACGAAAACCGTCTAAGCTTCATCAAACATAGCTTCGAATTGACACAAATTGGTGTAACCGTGAATCTTCATCTTACTCACCTTGCATCTCAATTATGTTTTGGACCACAGCCAATCTAAATAGCTAGTCTCCATCCGTTGTTATGCATGCGAACCTGGTTCATCTGTATTTCAGAAAGAACACAAAACCAGTACGAAATCTGCCTTGACCTTTCAAACGACCTTGGCTTAGAATGGTAGATGTGAAGGGTTTAAATGACAAATGATTGTAATATGGATTAGGTAAAACTGGTATGTTTCTGCTAATAGAGAGATAGATGCCAGAGAGGGGGAGAGAGGACAGGGAGGGAGGAAAGAGAGAGAGAGAGGGGGGGAGAGGGAGAGAGGAAAGGAGGAAAGAGATTGTTTGGGCGAACATGTGATTCGACAGCCAGGAAGAGAAAGTACCTCAGCATGTGCCTTGTCTCGGGACATTACAAACACTGCTGAATAATGAATAACTTGCCTGCGGGAAGAATGTATCTCTGGTGCGGTGGGCCCGCTGCCCGGTCCTATCACTTCCATGGACTGTTATGATCAAGATAGATATACGCGTACATACTTGTGCACGGACACTGGGCAGAGATCCATGTCAAGGCGCATTTGCACATTCAGTCCTTGAGCCATGACACTCTGAAGGTCAAAATTGAATGCGAAAGTGAAACGCTCACAAATAGGCTGAGAGTCTTTTTGGTTTCCTAATTGATGGAATCTGCTCATGTCACTTCATAATTCTCATCGGATTGTCAGAGTCACTTTCTATCCGTAGAGAATCACTGGGAGATCTGAGTTTTTATTTTAAATTCATATATTTACTTTTTTACGCACAATTCAATCACACGGCTGCACTATAGGTACATTGCATCGTTTCACGCCCCACGTTATCTGATTCAATCGTCCTACGTCAAAGGTTTTCATCGACAAGGTCTGCTGTGTGGTTGGTGATTATTTTCAATGATATGATAGAATTATAATAAGAATGTACTTCTGTACCAAAGCATACCATTTTCGCTCGTGAACCTGACCTTAACATCGTATTGTGCACACCACTCGTATTGTGCCAATACCAGCTGACGGTACGCGTGGGACGCCATGGGGCGGGGCGCTGACAACGAGATTAATGTCCCGCCAGTGCGCCTAGGACAGACGAACTGTAGCCCCTCTGCCTCGGTCATTTACACGCACTGACTGGTAACCAGGCCACGGCCAGTGCGTGGCACCCTGGTTCCCATCAAACCGATTTTTGTAGCGGAAACTGGCTGAACTGGGTACACGCCACACCGCGCAATTAAAGTGCAATTACCAGTGACCGTTTATTTGATTTATCTTCCTCATAGAATGAACAATGTGTGATGGTTTATGAATGACCCGAGTTTGCTTTGATGACTTGTTCTGACCCATTTCGACATTCCGTCCTATAACACCTTTCGATGCCGGGATTTAGTGCCTCATCTACCAGATGTTTCAACACCTGTCTGATTTGATACCCATGCGGTTGTCTGGCTGAAACCCATCCCATTCCAATCTGATGCCGTCTGATAATCATCCGATACCCCCTTGGATACCCTTCTGTTCGCGTCTGATGTTCTTAGATGCCCGTTCTTTACTCTGAAGTCCATTAAATAACTGTCTGATAAATGTCTTATACCCTGCTCTGACAGACGTCGGCGCTTCCTCCGGGCCGGCGGACCTGGCCCCGGCGCCGGCCCCGTTCGGTCTGCGCGTCGTGGTGCCGGTGATTGCCTCCCTGCTCAGCCTCCTGATGATCGTCTCCGCCGCCTACCTCTGCGTCAGAAAACGTGAGTGTCGCCGCGCCGGCTCACCGCCGCTGACCTCCCGCGACCCCGGGCGGCGTCGGTGACTTGTGATTGTACGGTGACGCCTCGGAGAAAAGTAGGGGTCACCGCCGGGTCAGATGTAAACTGGCTTTAGACGCTCGATGGGAAGTGCCTGGTGGCGATGGGATGTCTCCGGGGGGGGGGGGGGGGGGCTGGGTCTCTGTTGCCGAGCTCTTTGATGGTGCTGACTCTGACGGCAGCTCGTCTCTCGCCTACCGATCGACCATTGTTAGCGAGTGAAACGATCGGCACCTCTCGCTCCCCCGCGCGGTGCGTCGATTGTCGGCGCTGAATGCACACACCCGCAGCTCGGCGAGACGGCAGACACCGCGGGGGCGATAACTGATGACATCGGGTTAGGCAATCATAACTGGGCAGACAGATGCCAAGTCCAGCGACCTGCCCTGACTTCTCTTTCCGTCTGTTTCATATCTCTCTCTCTCTCTCTCTCTCTCTCTCTCTCTCTCTCTCTCTCTCTCTCTCTCTCTCTCTCTCTCTCTCTCTCTCTCTCTCTCTCTCTCTCTCTCTCTCTCCCTCCCTCTCCCTCTCTCCCCTTCTCTCTGCATCTGTCTGTTTTTTCTCCCATCTCCATCGGGTGAAGCACGTTGGAATGTCCGTGTGAAATTACCTGCGATCGTTCATTCTTAGTTTATTCTCTTCTTATGTTGCTCAGGGGGATGTGTTTTACTTTTGACTATTACTCCATTGCGTTCCCAGGCCGTCGGAAGGTGCCTCTCTACCTACCAGAGCCACCTGACTACTCCCAGGCTGCCAAGGGGGTCGAGCCTCCGTCGCTGCCGCCGCCGCCGTCACTGGCGCCACCTCCCGGTGACCTGCTCAAACAGGAAGGTCAGTCCTGGAGGTCTGCGACTTTCACGGTATATTGTGGCGGCTGGTCACCGATGGAGTGGTCGGTCATGCTCATCGGTCTTATTTTGAAATAAATCTGCAAAATCACTGGTGTTCTCTCTAAACGTGATTTCCTATTGTCGCGAATTAAAAAGATTTTGTGCGTTATCCATGGATGTATAAATAAACGTTCGATTGTTACGTCCATGATGCTAGCCCAGGAAATCACGTGGGATTTCGAAGATCTTGACATCACGGTCGGACTGATTTTGCAAGCTCATCGTGGCAAAGACACCCATGGCGTAGTGTCGAAAAATAATTTATAGAATCTTTTCTAACAAGTCCATTGCAAAATGCGTGGAACTGTAGTTACAATCTGACGCATGAGCGTTCTTTCACGCGTTCACCCAAGGTCAGGTCTGTGATCTGTCTCAGTTGGCTGAAAGTGATTGATAGTTGTAGAGTCGAGTAGACGTGAGACCGCGGATCGACCGGTGTGCAAGCCTGAACGCTTGGGAGGATATTGGTGCTACGGTCATCTGGCAGAACTGATTGGGTTAATCGCTTTGTAATGATACACAACTGGTAGGTTGTGTCAAATGAATTACACATTGCATTTGAATAGGGTGGTCGGCATCTAATGCTGTTATGCGACAAATGTGGGATGATTCGCTCACTTTAAAAATATTGATGCGGTTGCGGTTGCGGGCGGGAACTAAACCAATTTTCCGGTGATCATTCGATGTCTCATGTCTCCCGTTGTCTGTCGACATTGCAATCTTCATGACCAGCATATCTCGAATCTCGAGTGTCAACTAGTATCTCATCCGCCGCTCTAATGGGCGGCAATGTTGTTGCAGTCGAGGCACCCCAGAACTCAAATTCATTATCTACAGTTCCGCCAGGCCTGACCACACATTTATGCTGGTCAGCCCACCATTCACCGGCGATGGATTGGTCTGCCCTACCACTGGTGCATCTGAACAGCGTCCTGACACACCGCCCCCGGCTACCCCAGTCCGCTGTCCTTCCCTCCATCCCCATCCCGTCCGCCCGCCTCGCCCGCCCGTCACCTCTCCGCCCTGTGGGCACTCTCAGATGAGAGTGAGCCATGAGAAGTGAATGTGCGAGCGCCGCCGGCGGCCTGCGCGTGGGTTCGGGTCAGAGGGCATATCGACAAGGTCGCACCGTTTCGCCGCCTCACCGGCCGGCGATGGCGACAGACCAGGGTACCGGGAAAATGGGAGCCGCGCACGATTTGATACCCTCGAGTGTTTGGTCATCCATAATCGAGGCAGAGATTCGGTCGTAGTCAGCATATGGATGACGGGCGAATAGTGTTCAAGGCAGCTGTCAGCGGCCGCGGTTGAGTCCGAGAATGTCTGACTGAGATAACGCAATGGGATATTCTCCGTATAGCGCCTTCTGTTGGTTGAAAACAGAATGATCCGACTGAGAGATGGGGTCACAAACCGAGCAGGGTCGCAGATGTGTCCGCAAAAAAAAAAACATCCGTCCCCTGTCTCTGACAGAGGCGTGTCCGTACTCCGTACATACGCCGTATCGTACCGGACAGACCTGTGCCCGTATATTGACCCCATATCCCCGTGTACCGAACAGGGCTGGTGTTGTTAAGTAATTATTTCCTGCATCCATAGTCTTACAGAGCTATGTCAGTTATACGTTATTTAACTTCTCCTCTCTGTATGTATTTCACAGAGCTGTGTCCGTACGCCACGCTGTACCGGCCGGCCGAGTCGGCAGTGGACGGCCACGGGTTCACCGCCGTCCACTGCGGCTCACTGCCGACTGCCCTGGCCTCTGACCTGACCGGTCAACTGGAGCCGCTGTACGCGGACCCCCGGCAGAGGCTACAGTCGCTGCCGGGCGCCGGAGCTCACCAGGTAACGACGATAACACGCTACGATCAAAAGAAAAAAACAGTGTGGCTTCACGGTAATCACAGCCCAATCATCCAGGTGCTTCCTTCCACTAAGCAACGAACAACAAAGCGCAACAACTCACAACATCCGTCAGAAAAAAGCTTTAAAGGTAGTGTGCCACCTTTGAAAGATTTCCCATTTTATTTTTCCTAGGAAAAGAAGCTTCTGTTTTTACCTAATATCGCACAAAAATCAAAAATGGGCCTGGAATAGTGCCTTTTTCGCCTAAAAGTTTATCGGTTTTTCGATATGTATAACAACTGTAGTGGGCTGAGCTGCAAACAGGCGTCGGCAACAATCGCGAATGCGGCGCACATGTGACAATAAGCAAAGGTCATTATAGAGTTACGACGTACGGGAATGAGTTATCAGCTGTCTAATCGTAGACAACACAATGTCGAGCCTTAAACTGTAAGCCTGTATTGGTATTGTTTCTTTTATTTGGCTGTCGAACATTATTTATGGTTTGAAATATGATTTTATGTAAAATAATTGATATGAAAAAGCCGTCTCTTAAGTTATGACCCCATTTCACCACACGCAAGTGGCAGAAATGACAATGATCAGCTGACGCATTTTTCTTGGCCGCAGTCAGAGCGCGCGGCCCGACGCACCACCACCGCACCACAAAGTATGAGCAGAAGCCGCGCCCAAAGCCAGGGCCCCGGTAACGTGAGGTAGCCGAGTCGGTGCAGCGTGCGCTGACCCAAGCCGGGGCCGCAGCTTTGGGCGCGGTCTACCGCATCCCCCCGGGCTATCACATGACACCGGGAGGACGCGCGGCCCCGGCTTGGGTCAGCGCACGCTGCCCCGACTCGGCTACCTCACGTTACCGGGGCCCTGGCTTTGGGCGCGGTCTACCGCACCACCTAACAGGCGTGTTCGAAACCGCAGGAGATGATGATGAACGGGTTTATCGAAACTTGATTGGATGAGCATATCGGTAATAGCGATTTCAGTGTGTGCATTTATTGTTCATAGTGGTGTGAAATGTGGTTGGGGTACGACCGACAATCCGTCGGGGCGAATTTCGCACTGGGGTACTCAAAATTTGAAGAATTTAAGACGTTTCCATGAGTTTTGAAGGTATGGATAAGTTCTAAAAATCCGGTTCTCCTTATCTGGGCCATTAACTCCATACGGTCCAGGAAAGCTGGCACACTACCTTTAACTAAGTGCCAGTGATGCGTATAACTCCTTATTATTTAAAGTTAAATGCACTGAGATCTCAGGAGTTCGTGTAAATAAGCGCTTTTTTAATATTGAATAATTAACCAGGGATGTGTAACGTCGAAAGTGGATTACCTTCATTCGAGATGATTGAGAAACTGATGTTGCACGAAAGGAAAGTAGCTACATTTGCATCCCTAGGACTGGAATAGACCCGCAATATTTGGCTCAGCACCTCTATGGTGTCAGACTAGCCCCAGGTAATGCACATAGTTGATCTATACGGCGCTAGTGCTAGTATACATGCAGGGTGACTGATGTGCCTGTGCAGCAGTCTTATAAAGCAATGTAGCTGCAACATTCAGTTGCACAAGATGTGGACGAACCTAGGGGGAAGCACCACTAAGGAATAATGCTGAACTTATTAGGAGGCGCTCATGCATGTCGACAGTGTGCAACACTTTCAGGATGGCCGCTCACTGAAGTTGGCGCCAACCCACTGACGAGAGATGATAAAGGTCATTATTTTCCAAACCTGCTCTGTATTCGTATCAGTATTCCAGCCCATCCACCCACGCCCATCGCCCACCCTCGCCAGGAAGGGTGTCTCCGTCACCCGTAGGCTCTTTTCCCTTTCGTCGCATGCATTTATTTATGTACACAGAAACACACGAAGCAGTCCTTTCACTTGGCTTCTCTCGTTCTGAAGACGTGGTGGCCATCCAAATAATTAATCATCGCCTGTCGGAGGGCCACCCACAGAGCAAACACTCGCTCGTGTGCCGATCTAGACGGCCGGTTGGCAACGGCATAATTAGTTTTCTTGATGGATTAGTCATAGCATTCTGCTAAGATAAAAGGGCACATAAGACATGATAACTGTGAAATACAGGCTTTTTGCGTGTTATTTCGTTTCATTCGTCACTTGCTGTCAGCTGTAAACAGTGCCGCTAGGCGCTATGCGAGTTTGAACGAAATGCTGTTCCGAATTCACTTCACAATCGTCATTAGGGCACTGCTAATGGCAGTTGGACAGGAGCCGCATACAGGACAGGGCAAATGAAAATTGGGTGCGCACGGCCAACAACTTACAACAGCTAAACAGAGAATCGGAGAACGGACGAAGGGCGAACTCTCTCTCTCTCTCTCTCTCTCTCTCTCTCTCTCTCTCTCTCTCTCTCTCTCTCTCTCTCTCTCTCTCTCTCTCTCTCTCTCTCTCTCTCTCTCTCGCTCT